CGCAGTGGTTCCCACTTGTGTGGTAGGAGTCGCAGTGGTAACAGCTTGAGTAGTAGGAGCCACAGTGGTAGCAGCCTGAGTTGTAGGAGGCACAGTGGTAATGGCCTGAGTTGTAGGAGGCACAGTGGTGGCCGATTGCGTTGTGACAGTCTGAGAAGTCGAAGAGGGAATAGTAGTAGCCTGTGTGGTGGGAGTCGCAGTGTTGACAGCCTGAGTTGTAGGAGCCACAGTGGTAACAGCCTGAGTAGTAGGAGCCACAGTGGTAACAACCTGAGTTGTAGGAGCCACAGTGGTAACAACCTGAGTTGTAGGAGGCACAGTAGTAACAGCCTGAGTTGTAGCAACCACAGAGGTGGCCGCCTGAGTTGTAGCAGCCACGGTGGTTACCGATTGGGTGGTGGCAGTCTGAGAGGTCGAAGAGGGAGTAGTAGTAGCCTGAGTTGTGGGAGCCGCAGTGGTTCCCGCTGGTGTGGTAGGAGCCACAGTGGTAACAGCCTGAGTAGTAGGAGGCACAGTGGTAACAGCCTGAGTAGTAGGAGCCACAGTGGTAACAGCCTGAGTAGTAGGAGCCACAGTGGTAACAGCCTGAGTAGTAGGAGTCACAGTGGTAACAGCCTGAGTAGTAGGAGTCGCAGTGGTAACAGCCTGAGTAGTAGGAGCCACAGTAGTAACAACCTGAGTTGTAGGAGTCAAAGTAGTGGCCGACTGCGTGGTGACAATCTGAGATGTCGCAGAGGAAATAGTAGTAGCCTGGGTAGTCGGCGTCACAGATGGGATCGATGTAGTCGGGGTTGTAGTCTCACCGAAGTTGCTGCAGACGCTCGGACCACAAGGCTGGTCACCATCGTAACAGACAGGCACGTGGAGCCACCACTTGCAGTACGACACGCGATCAAAAGAAAGGTCAGGATTAATAGCGGTACAGTAAGCATCGCAGTTGGAGCTGGGACCAACATGTGCATCAGGAGGACCTTCGGTGGGAGCAGGAGTGCCGGTGGGACAATCCGATGGGCCACAAGATTGATCGCCACCCTGACAGACAGGCTCGTTCTTCCACCACTTACAGTACGAAGTTGGCCCATTGAGACCGACGCAGTAGGCGTTGCAGGGGGCAGACTCGTAGGGGTGCGCACCCGCTGGGAGAGAAGGTGTGGGAGCAGGAGGCCACGTCTGGGAGGTGCATACAGTTTGATCACCACATGGTTGATCGCCACCAAGACAAGTAGGGCGAGGAAGCCACCACTTGCAGTATGAAGCCTCATCATTGAGACTCTGGCACATCGTGTCACAGGCAGGCTCATACGTTCCATCACCAGTTGGTACTACGTCAGTCGGTGTTACGGTGATAGCGGGACCACAGATAGCTATTGTACCACAAGGCTGATCACGTCCCTGGCACGTGGGTGGGCTAAGATCAAGTTTACAGTAAGAAGCACCCCCGTTAAGCCCCTGGCAGTAGATATCACAGGTGTTCTGCAAAGTTGGAGCATCAATCGTGGTAGGCGGGACTGTAGTCGCGGGAACCGAGGTGGTAGTGCTGACTTGGAGACGACGTAGAGCCCCTGATACCGCTGAAGGAAGAACACAGGCGATGAATAGTGTGTGCATGATGACTAGGACTGAGCGAAACCCTGATAGCACGCGTGACTAAACACCATCATGACCAAGATCTCATGCTGTGTGGACTTACTCAAACACTGTGATACATCTAGGAGCGTACACATCATCTGTCTCCGAGTAAGATAGTCCAATTTGATCTGCGTGGTATAGACTCGAAGTCAAGATGGATTTGACTGAAACGGAAAGATTCTACTATCTTCCACCGTGCGCAACTCTTTCACCGTGCGCAGGTCCTCCACTGGACGGTGCCAGAAGTCGGCACACAGAAGTCCACAAAGTACCAACCGCACAATCCCATTCACCAATTGAGCAAAGTCGATGACCATGGTCTCACGTGGCTATTCCAGGGCCTCAATCCTTCCACACTCGTGAAGCCTCGTACAGACTCGGACAAATTGTCAGCAAGTCTTGCGTGAGTCCGGCTAGCTGGCAGGCCAGAACTCGGGACTGCTCCAATGCTGAGAGCTGACAATGACGAGATGGCATTAAGAATTTGATCCCGGATTCGTTGTGTTTCATGCACACTTGCGTTATTAGCACACTCTCGACAACCTGGAGAATAGAGTTTTCCTTACCAGTTTTTCCACTGGACTTGTTTAGATGATGGCGGATAATTAACCTTTTCCGAAATTGGTAGAGGCTCGATTACCATGGTCTCATATGGCTATCACAGAGCGCTAATCCTTCCACACTCGTACAGAGTTCGTTGAGTAACTTTCGTTCAGAAATTCGTCCGAGAGCATACACTAGGCTGCCAGGCGATCTCGGTTGCTGTCAAAATTTCCGATGATCCTGTCGTGGTCCGACGTATTCTATGTTTTCAGGAGATGCAGGCATTCGAGCTCGGCGTCCCGGCTTGCCACTCAATTAATAAACCTAGGAACTTCACACGCATCCCGGCTGCATAAACGAAATCAACTTATTGGGCCACTTGACTCGGATAAACTGGACACGTCTTTACTTTTTACCTCGCTCTCAAACCAGAACACGCGTTCACACCCGTCTTTCAATAAATCGTCAAGATTGTGTTTCGAGGGAATTTTCCTAGTCGGTTCACTCCAGGTTGGTTAATTGCTCACCCCGAAGGGAGCTAGGGGTAGCATTTTATAGCCGGTACTTCCTCAAATAGAATCCGTCGCGCAATCGTTCGGATAATGCGTATACTTTGTACTAACTATTGGTTACCAACTAGTGCCTGAAGGACTATAACAAACTCAACTCCCGCAAGACTAACAAACATCGACGGACATGAACAACAGAGATCCACATGGGCAAATGACTTATTGTCCGATAGGGGGCAGAGACTTGGGCATTTTGCGTTTCCTTGATCGCGGAAGGCCACTTTGCCGGGACAGGCACGTTCTAAAACAACATAGTAGCACTGAACCGTTCGATGGCTGACGAACATGTATAAAGTCTCGAAGTCTTGCTCGGTCGCTACGTTTACTCCTTCCTCCGATATTTGAGTGGCAACAACGGCCAGAGCTCGACACGTCGTGAGAGCCGCCATCTAAAGAATCCATCGCATCAGAATTGCCGACCCTTCCTTCACCTTGGGAGTAAGCAGAGTTCTTAGTCGCCTTGCTCCTAGTCTTTGTTCCCGACTAGGCTTACTTCCCCCTACAGAGATAAGCTGCCCTTCAGCACAGGCAGTTGCCAACTCAGTTGCGGGCATCGAGATGTACCGGAGACAGTAAGCCGCGACAAGCACTTTATAAAATGATTAACTCACTTGTCGAAACTCGCGTGCGTACTGGCTCTCGTCAACACACTTGGCCTCTCCAGAGAGGTTCGTTCGCTGAACGCTCGTCGTATTTTTTTCATCGACTCGCCCTAAAACAAGTTTGTGCCACAAGTAAAGGAAAGAATCCCACCTTCCGACGATTCCAGGCGAAATCATCAATCGTTTTATCGATCGCCATACCGATACGATCCAAATGGGTGCTCTCCTTCTTCCTCTGAACCTTACCCCCAGCCGAGACGCTCTGAACGCACACCACGGAGAGTAATGCGCCCTGAGAGAATCCTATACTCACCGAATAACCGCTTGAGGGCATCGCTGGACTCCAAGTGAAGTACTCGACCCACGTGGATAACTGAGCGTTGAAGATTCTCACACACGTACATCGGAAGAGGTCACCTGCAGACCCCTCGGGGTGAGCTTGCCCATTCGCCCCGAGTCGCTATGAACGACGTTGATTTTCCTCGCAATCTCAGCAGAGTTATCAACGGTATTGCGAGGTGGTGAGCCCTTAGATTACGAATATCGTTGATAGTCATAGTCGCTTTCTCACCGATTCAACCCTCACAGGTGCACAATCAAGGATCCTCCTCATGCAAGCTTCCTCCTCAAAGATTTCGCTGAATACGTGCCTCACAGTATAATCCTGGATGCTTCTAACTCACCCTCCGCTGGAACCACCGAAGGTCGTCGAGAATATCATTCTGGCCGCTAGAGACGCGTCGAAAGGTAATGAGGACCACGTCGAGCGAGATGCCGGTACTTCTACAAAGGACTCCCCAACTTTGTATGAATCATAAAAGACCAACCTCCGAAAGGCTCGATATGTCGTCTAATGACAGCGCCATCCCAAAGCCGTAGCAGGTCGAAACCATGGCGAGTCGCGATCAGTAGTAGAGCGAGTTTCGCTGAGAAAAACGAAGTCGTCACCAATAACAAGACCTTCTTACGATCTGTTGATGGTAGCAATAGTGTACTCGTGTAAGCTGCGTCACCCGCCTTCACAGCAGGAACACTAAATTCTGATACCATGCTGCTGGAGAAAGCCGCATCTGAGGTCACCAACAGTCCAAGAGAAACTAACAGTAGCAGCTATAGCTCACCTGTTCCTGTGAGGAGGGACCTCCGGCATCCGAGCGAGTCTCTGAAAGTGATCTATCATCACTCGGTTAAATCGGAAGAACAAGTCGTCACCCTTCAAGGACAGATCGATCTCCCTCTAGATGAAGTTCGAAGGTCAAGATCTTGCGACCTCCAACCTGCGCTATCACCAGACCTGATGCGCTCACTCGATCCCTGGGAGGAGCCTTGAAAATAGATAACGTGTAGGTCGTTCCGAACAAACTAGCCTCACATCATCTCGGTATGCGGGTGCTTCACTTTCCTGGTCACATGGCTGCTCTGGACTTCCTCGACAACCTGCGCACAAAGTCAGTCGAGATAATCTCCTCATAATGTGTCATCACATTCACGTCAGCGACTCCAACTTACCGCTCGTTCCCGATGTCTGCCTCGTTAGGCTCTTTGTCACCTCAAAGATGGCCTAGGAGCAATCAGCATCAAACGGAGAGGACCTTGGGGGCCTCACTTTCAATGCCTCCTGACCGCGCCCCTCAAAAACACTATGGATGAGTTCCTTCGTGGCCGCGTCACACTTGGACAAAAGATCGTTGTCCTCAGCAATTTCGGTGATTTTCCTGTTATCGTTCGCGCGTATCTAAAGATGAATCTCCCACTTTAAAAAGTTTCCAATCTGCTCACCAGGACTTCCATACTTGAGGAAGACCCAGAAACGTACGGCTCGATTTCTGACAGAGGGACATCGACGTGATTCTTCGTCGCATCAGAGCGATCGCGGAGTGGAGTCCACTGGGCGCCCTTGTTGCAGCCAACATATACCTGGTAAGGTCCTATAAGGGAGGAAAAATGGGCACTCCCCACTTTCAGCATGAATCGGGCAATAAGATTCTTCGTGTTGTCGCTCCCAAGTGATACCTCTACATCTTCTCGAGTAAGGATGACTAGTCCCAATAAAGGTTCGAGAAATGCTACCGCCTCGACCACAATTTTCCGACTGTCATTCAGCATCTCTTGTGCGCTTATCATCACAGTGGTCTCTCTGGATTTTTCCAATGCCCAAAGCTTCACGCGTCCTTCCCCGGCCGACTCGACGTTGGCCAGAAGACTTCTCAGGGCATTCACGGCGTAGCCGCCCAATTGTGATGGTCGATCGGTGGTCTCCACACGCTGTCTCAACGGCAAGTTGGTGCCTCTCGGTTGTGGACGGTCTGCATGGATGAGACATAATCCGTCCTGAGCCGTGATACTGATGATCACTCCGCGAGCCGCTGAGTGCTTTATATGCGTCACCGGATGGTTGTAGTGACGCTCAACTGGCTGAGGCGGGCGCCCATCTGTCGCCATCAAATGGACGGCCAATGACCCGTCTGTGAACCCCACCAAGAGTCTGGCATGGTCTTCCGACAGAGAGATGACACTTATCGTTCTATCGTCTGAGGCGTCCCTCTGACATGCAATTTCGCTTGTCTTAATCTCCGTGATGAGCTCAGCGTTTGCCAGGCTATGGACACGCAGCTTCAACGGTTCCGCGATTATAATAGTCGATCTCAGCAAATTAACGGCCACTCCGACTGGCACCCTGCTGGCACCGACTAGGCTTCGTGTAGGGTGTAGATCGACACGCCCGAACTTTGTCGATGAGAATAATAACCTCACCACACCCTCAGCCGAGGGACTCTGGACAAGTATTTGCTGAGCCCCGCAGGACTTGAGCCCACTAGTAGAGCCCTTGATCACTTGCACACACTCGAGCTTTATCAAATCCCATATACGAATTTCACCTCGTTCGTCGCAGCTGACGGCACAAGGGGCTGTTCCCCGTGCCACGGCGACCGAGATCAACGGCGCTCTATGGGCCCTCATGGGTTGGATCACTGATCGGCTGAACCCTGGAGGCGGCGTAGGCTGAACAAGATACACCAAGGAACTCGAACTGACGATGACCAGGCGATCGATCGCCGCTGCATACACGACTGACCGCAATTGGGGTCTTCGACCACCATAGTGCGGTATCGTGAAACGATGAACCTGGATGGGATCAGTATTCCTGAGTTACGATCCAGGACTTCTCACAAGATTTCCAGTCCGGATCTCCCAGATGCCGACCGTTGCATCGGCAGCAACGCTGGCGATTAGACGACTGTCCCGCAGCTCGGCAGATGATGACGATTTGTATTGAGAAATTTCGGTTATGGAGGTCACTCGTTCAGCATGGCAACCAGCCATGCAGATCCCTTGGGTGATTTGTACTGTTGATGCCGCTAGATCGGATACTGGTCTGGTGAAGTCCTCCTCGGACGGAGAAACCTAAGGAAACCGTGCAGCGAGCCGATGTCACAGAGCACTAGAGTTACTTGATCGGTTGTGATGGTCTTTCTTGAGGGTCTCAGTTTGAACGCCAGGAGGGAATGCGTCTGGGCGTGAGCCGCGATGAAACTATCAAGCTGTTGGCTGTACCACAGTCCTTCACATAGAGACCCCGCAGACCCCTCCAATCGGTTCATGGATATCACTTCTCGACAAGGAAACGTCCACATGAGCGATCGAGCTTCTTCATCACTCCCAAAATTTTTGTATAGGCCTTCGAGGTCCCAAATGCCGATGTGGCCATCCGTAAGTAGAGCCGTAATGAAGGTAGCTGGCCGCCTACCCCCCGCACCATCGCTCGCTACGTGGGTAGCTCGTAGACCGGGACGGGGCAGCAACAGATCGGCCACCCACTGTATCGCGGTAGTCTTTCTTCGGGCTGCCCACAATTTCAAACTGGGGGCGTCTTCTTCCGCCGAAACAATACAATCAGCCTCGACAAAAGGCCCACTCTTGAGTGGCCGCATAGGCACTATATGGAAACAGAGAATGCGGCCACAATGACGATACTGGTCGATCGTTATCGGACGCGCTGTTGCCTGAGGAACGCCGTTCTGATCCGTGCCGAAGCAAGAAGGCTCACCGGGCATTTGGGTATGGAGAGCCCCTGCATCCTCAGGCTCTCCCGACCCTCCCGTGCTCGATCGGACTCCTTGGCTCGATCGAGCAGATATACTGTGAAGGCTCTCCAGTCGAGCTCAAACACTGTTTCTTTGTGCTGGTCAAAACTATCGCTACTATCAGATGCCTTCGACATGCAGATGTCTGCGAGGAGGTCTGCTACCGCAAGTCTCAGCTCCGCGAGCTCTCTCGCAGTCGAGGGCTCAAGAACTCTCTCGAATGCCTCACACCAGAAGAGCAGATCTTGGGCTCTCCGTTCGACAGGTTCTGAAGACTAATTTCCAGATAGCCTTTAGTGATTCTACTTTATATCTCACTTGGGTTCTGCTGTTGTTCAACGATATTTTCAAGGCGATGCATGTGGGTTTCTTCCAAAGCGTCTATAAGGTCATATCTCGTTACTATCCGGCGGCGAAGCTCGTCTCTCTAGTGAAAAACAAGCGGGTGGTAAAGCCGAGAATTCTGGTCGCCCTCACCTGAGCAGTGGCTGAACCGTCCAAAGCGCCATCTGGGGATGGCATGGAGTTGACAGAAAGAAACTAAAACATCAGTCAACTCGGGCCTCGGTGAAATGCCGACCATCAGATAAGCTTCTGGACTGGAAAGAAAAGATTGTTGTCTGTCATCTCCTGATTCATTAGTTTCATAGTATGTGGTCATCGTCCACTTCACATCAGAAGTAGCTTCGATATTAATAAGTTCGCAAGACTCCCTCTCTTCAGAAATCATTACCTACTATACTGTTGCAAACATGTGAAACCAGCACGGCTACTTGCTAAGATCTATCCGACATTAACCTGCTCCTCGACAGACAATGGTCTTGCTCGAGCACTCGTCCGATACGACAACGGTGGAATCACAGACTGCGAAATCCACAGACGGTGAAACACATCTAGCGGGATGATCCCTTCATATTGAGACACTGAGTACTTCATCAAAAAAGTCGAACTTTATCCTATAGTCGCTCGAGGTCTTCGCTGGCAGAATTGGTGACCCCCCAGTGACCACGATTTGAGTTTAGCACGGTCTCGCCGCGTAATCTGGCGGCTCATCCCGCGTTACTTTTGCCTCTACCGCCCTGAACCTTCTGTATCAAAAACTATGTCATCGACACCGTTTAACGCTCACAAAAGTCAATGAAGAACGCGTCAAAGACATATCTTCAGTGAGCGTGTCTCTCCATCACGAAATGTCGAACACATCTCGGTTTTCTTTTTTTCTCTCGTTCTCGCTAACCTACAGTTCGCCATGTAGATGAATTCAGTGAATAAGAATCTCATTCAATCTTCAAGGAGACTTCCCACGCATATTGAGAATTAAAGAACTTCTCCGACGAAATTTCCAACTCCATAAAAATTCAGTAACACGTCTGTGATTTAATTTCACCATATGACAACAACGAACTAAATTACGCAGAATCATATCGAGATTATGATGTAGCCTTGTTGGAAATCAGTGGTGACACTGATCACTGCCGTGTTATACAGTGTACCCAATACACTCACTGTCACGTACTCGTCTGAAGGTGTTGTGGGCCTTGGGGATGCTTTTGAAGAGCTTCAGTACGACTGCCAAATACCTGTCAACAAAAACACAAATCTCAACTCGTACAGCCATACGCAGTGTTGGAGGAACATATGGTCACTTTCTTCAGCTGAGCTCAGGAGTTTCCAAAGCAGGGTTGCACATTTGGGAACAAAAATTTTCTTCCCGGAATTGTTCCCTGGAAGTAATGGGAAGAAACAAAAGGTGTCATTGTTCCCGGGAACAATTCCGCGATCGTTCCCGGAATTGCACGAAGCCGAAGGCTTCGAAAAAATTATTACAGTACACAACGAGTCGCGTTGATTTTCACCATTTTTGAGGAATTTTCGAGGAGTGCTTCTCATGACCCATAAAAATAGTCAGAGACACTATTATTATCGACTGATTGGGCTGTGTCACAACCGTTGTGAATATCAAAACAGCTCTCTTGCTCTCTTGCTGTCTCTTGTGGTTGTCTGTGATCACTCACTAACATTCAGAAGCACTCAGTTGAACTGAGTGCTATTGAATGATAGTGAAACCAATAGAACCGACTCAGTACTCACACCCTCATCAAAATTATTCTTGCGCTCTATATTCTGTATACCGCCCAGACTGGGCGGTATTCAGACCCATTCATCCTTTTCACTGGGCGGCCCAGTGAAAAGGATGAATGGGTTTCACGGCGATCCTTGTCCCATACAGCACAATTATCTTGATCATTAATCTGTGAAGTTTCACTCACTATGGTTCGGAGTTCATCAAAAGGATTAGAACCATCAAGTCAAGTCAGTTCAATAGCACATCCAATTCGATAGCACATTCAATTCAATATCACATTCAATTCAATATCACATTCAATTCAATATCACATTCAATTCAATATCACATTCAATTCAATATCACATTCAATTCAATAGCACATTCAATTCAATATCACATTCAATTCAATAGCACATTCAATTCAATAGCACATTCAATTCCACTGCCGAACATGTCCGGTCCCAAGGCGAAGAGGTATACAACAGATCCTTATAGAGAGTTCCACAAGAGATTGGTTACGGTAGCGACAGTATTAGGGTGGTCGGCGAACAGTTTATCGAGTGCTGGATTGACTTGGGCATTGCAAGCTCTTGATCCCAACTATGGGCGCCAAGGGACTCCTTTACCAAGGAGCAAAATTGACATCTTGAGACAGGAAATAGCGTCGGAAATTAGATCTGATAACGAGCTCCAAATCGCGAACGGTGCTGGGAGTCAGATATCAGCGATAGCGGTACAGTTTGACTCATGGACTCCGCCATCGTCTGGGGTACCCATGGTCGCGATGGCGATAACAGTTGCCGAGGCGGCAGACTGTGGATGGCCTGTCAAACTGGCCACCATACCTTGGTTATTCCGCAGCTTGCGGCCCAGCGAACGCGAAACGTCTGTGGAAGTGCATCAATTTCTTATGCAAGAGTTAGCAAAGTTGCGAGAAAGTAATCCACATTCACGGGCATGATTCGAGATTGACCTTTATGCGTTTTGCTTCAGATAATATCCTCCCCACCAGTGTCCTCACCGATAATGCAAATAATGTTAAAAAAGCTCGACAATTGACGGTTGAAGCCGTCGTCAGCCACGACCAGGAGGCTTTTCCTGTAGTGGGCGGTAGCATCCGACTGGTTT